ACAACAACAACAACAAAGCCTTCAGTGGATCTTCAACTTCCCTCATTACCATGGGCTCTTGTTCATATGGGACTTTCTGAAACTGTTTCCGTGTCAAGCAATTCTTTTCAGTACAGTAGTTTCATGTATTCTTTGCATCTTCTTTTGATGCTTCCTGGACCACTCAGGATTTTGTCCGTAGCATCTCAGTTTGTGACCTAAGGCTTGCATTTGTTTTTCAGTTCTTTAAACTTTAGAGATGCAGAGCGTTCTCTTGCCAGCGAGTCTCCCACTCCAGCTCTGCGCATCCATGATGATATTTTCTTTGTCTTCTCTAGCTGCCCTCTGAGGTCTTCTGCTAATTTCTTTTTACTTTGACATCTGTCCCCTTTGTTTTGGCTTCTCGACACCCTAGTGCCATTTCAGGGTCTCTTCTGACATCCGTTCTGGTCTTTTCTTTCTCTTCTGCTCTCTTCGTGATGCTTTGATCATCTGGTCTTTGTTAGTGTTCACTGCCTCAAGCTGGGTGGTAGTTTACTAGCAGTAACTAAATCCCTAGTGTGGTAGTGACTTATTTTAACTTAGACCTTATGTTCCAAATGTTGTTGTTGTGTGCCATGGAGTTGCTTGTGACTCATAGTGACCCTAGGTACAAGAGCCCTAAATCCTGCTCTATCCTGTGCCAATCTCATTGTCTCTGACACACCTACCCCCCTTTATACCCCAGTTACTGAATCGATTCATCTCATCGAGGATCTTCCTCTCTCGCACCATCCCTCCACCCTCCCAAGCATGACATCCCTCTCCAAGGACTGGTCCCTCTTTGCAGCATGCCCAAAATATGTCAAATGAAGCATCAGAATCCTTGCCTCCAAGGAGCAGCCTGGCTTAACCCTCTCTAGGATGAACTTGTTTGTTCTCCTAGCAGTCCATGTATATTCAACACTCTTCTCCAGCACCACAGCTCAAAGGCATCAGTTCTTCTTCTATTATCACCTGAGAAGACACAGTAAAAGCCCAAGGACTGTTGCGGTTATCGTCTAGTGCTGCACCGTTGTCCACATTTCCAGGGCTGAGGGATCGATCACGTGTGACAGGTGACTGCAGGGTTGAGCCACACAGGCACAAACAGTCCTCTTACCCTGACAGTTCTGTGCAGATGTCAGCACCGTGCTTCTCCCATTCCTGTCAGGGGAGTCAGGACAGGAGCTGGCCAGGGTCTGTGCTCTTGGCCTCCTGGCGTGTGGTGGAGAGTCTCTGGTGTCCCCTCTGTGCAGGTCTCGGGCGGTCTAGCATGGACGCCGTCGCCGCCCACAGCTGCCACCTCCTCCAGCAGCTGCAGGAGCAGCGGATCCAGGGCCTGCTGTGTGACTGCATGCTGGTGGTGCGAGGCGTCTGCTTCAAGGCGCACAAGAACGTCCTCGCAGCCTTCAGCCAGTACTTCAGGTACGAGACGCTCACCCGGAGGTAGGCGGTTCAAACCCACCACCAGCCACCCTGCAGGAGATGGAGGGAGTGATTGGCTGCTGGGAAGATCTCAGCCTTGGAAACCCTGGGGGCAGTTCTGCTCTGTCTTGTGGGGTCACTAGGAGTCGGGGGTGGGGTGGGGGACAGCGGTGGGTTTGCTTTTAGTTTTCTCTTAATTAGCCTGGCGATGTCTTCTTAGGGGCACTGTTTTGACTAAATTTTGTATACTCATTGAATATCACTGTTTTTATCTTTGATAGCAAAAGAGTGTGTGTGGGGGGCGGAGGGTAGATCTTGAACTTTTCCACATACAACACAATCACGTAAATACTGGGCACACGCATGTAATCACATGACGCTCATAGGAGGTGGTTTGCATATAACGTATGTTATTTGTGTAAAAATATAATCGAAAACAATTTATTGGCAGTGTTTTGGGATTTTGTTTTTGTATATATATGTGATGGCCGTCGATGAGGTGGATTGATTCAGTGACTGGGGCCACGGGGGGTAGTTATGTTGGAGACAGATTGACACAGGATAGAGCAGGGTTTAGGGCTGTTGTCCACAGGGTCGCTGTGAGTCCCAGGTGACTTGATGGCACTTAACAGCAGCAGCATATACGGGATACTTGTTTATACAGATGTTGATGGTAATAGATGTCACGTATCAAGACCAAACCCACTGCTGCTGAGTTGATTTCTTACTGCTGGTCACACTGTAGGACAGAGTCCCCCCGAGAGAGTCCAGCCCTTCGTGGGGCACACTGCTCCCCCTCCTCATACACCCTCAAAATGCTGACGTTCTGTTCAGCAGCCAGAATTTTTTTTTTAATTTTAATATTTTTTGTGCATGTACCATCAAATCAGATCTGACTGGTACAGGAGGAGATTGCCCCTCCTTCTCCAGCAGAGCATCTGGTGGGTTCGAACCTTGCACCTCTGGGATTACAGTGCAGCTTCTTGCCACTAGGCCACCGGAACTTGCCTAGCAGCTAGCATTTTTTACCATGGAGCCACCTCTAGAGGCGCCCGCAGCGGGTCGTTTCCAACTCGATGGGATGTAACAGCGGACGGTGTCACCAGGGCCCCTCACTCTGTAGCATGAGCGTCGTTGCTGTGACGTACTGTCGAGTTGGAACCGATACTCCTGCAGGTTTGCAGAGGTAGCAGGTCACAGGGGAGGACACTGCACATCCTTCTCTCGCAGGGCAGCTGGTGAATTCTAACCACGTGCCTTGGGTTCACAACACAGCTCTCTACACCTGGGCAACAGGAGCGCCCTTATAAAGACACATGTAAACATGTATATATGTGTGTGTATAACTTAGAGAAATTTAAAAAAGGGCTCTTAAAAATAAATTGGGTCAAATTGAAGTGTTTTGGCTTTGTCTTAAATTTTAATCTAATTATCTATCTATATATTTATTTCTTATCCTTTACGTATAGAAAAATTTGAGAAATTGAATACCTGCTAAGAATTTTCAGTGAAACTGTGCAAAAAAGAATGAATATATTAACAAAAAAATGAACTGGTGGAGGGAGATGGGTGGGCGAGGGAGGAAAATGTGCAACCGTGAATAATTGAAAATCGAACTTTTCAGTAAATTTTCATTAAATTATAATTAAAAAAGAACAGAAAATTTGTAATAAATCTGATGGGAAAGTGTTCTTAGATTGTGTAAGAGTTTTTTTTATTACAAAGATCTGAGAAGGTGTTCTTGTGCCATGTATTTTGTTGTTTGTTTAATGAAAACAATTTCATTTTTTCATACGGGTACCATTATTCCAATGGTCAGCCCACGGACGGGGTAATGTGCTGTGAGCCCACGTTGCACTGGATCATTTCATTGATGGACTGTGTGGGGTGTGTTGAGATCCCATGTTGCACTGGGTCACCCCACCGATGGGGTATGTGGTGTGTGGTGTGTTTCCGTGTTGCACTGGATTAGCTCACTGATGGCTTGTGTGGTGTATGATATGTGTTGAGATCCCACGTTGCACTGGATCATTTCATTGATGGTCTGTGTGGCGTGTGTTGAGATCCCACGTCGTACTGGGTCATTTCATTGATGTGTAGTGTGGTGTGTGTTGAGGTACCATGTTGTACAGGATCAGCCCACCGATGGGGTGTGTGGTGTGTGCTGTGATTCCGTGTTGCACTGGATTAGCTCACTGAAGGGCTCTGTGGTGTGTGTGGAGATCCCACATTGCACTAGGCCAGCCCACCGATGGGGCGTGTGGCGTGTGTTGAGATCCCATGTTGCACTGGATCATTTCATTGATGTGTAGTGTGGTGTGTGTGGAGATCCCATGTTGCACTGGATTAGCTCATTGAACGGCTGTGTGGTGTGTGCTGAGATCCCACGTTGCACTGGGTCATTTCATTGATGGTCTGTGTGGCGTGTGTTAAGAGCCCACGTTGCACTGGGTCATTTCATTGATGTGTAGTGTTGTGTGTGTGGAGATCCCATGTTGCACTGGATCAGCTCATTGATGGGGTATGTGGTGTGTGCTGTGATTACGTGTTGCACTGGATTAGCTCATTGAAGGGCTGTGTGGTGTGTGTTGAGGTCCCATGTTGTACAGGATCAGTGCACAGATGGGATGTGTGTGGTGAGTCTGTGGATTGGCCCACTGATGTGTCCTGTGTACTCTGTCGTGTATACTCTGATTGTGTACCACACTGGAGCGCTCAGGTGGGTAGCACCTTTTTGCCCCTCTGTGTAATTCCCCCGATTGTTAGGTTTCTGTGGCCTGTCGTTGCATCCTTCTCGCACAGTTAGTACCGGCATCGTGGTGCACAGGGTATTGTCCTGTCCTGCTTCTGCCTGGTACCAGCTCTGAGTCAGACCCCAGCGGAAGGCTGCCTAGGGGTGTCTGACCCTCCGGGGCAGATCTGCTCTGACTCAGGGAGTGGCACCCTTGGCACCACATGTGGTCACCACACTTGACAGGATGTCTGCAGCAAACATGACAAGGATGTGTTGGGGCTCAAGGTGCCTGGTTAACTCGTGAGACTTGTCTCCTTCCTGAAGGGGAGCCCACCAGTTTTCTGGAGAACCTCAGATCCCAGAATCACTGATGGCAACAGATCGAACCTGAGGGTTGGTTTACAAAATCCCTTTTGTAGGTTTAGAAATTTTACTATGACAGCTAACTGTGGAAGTATTTGCATGTGTGTTTTATGACCGGAAATGTAGAATTTTTCAGGCCAGACCTGAAATACAGAAAACTTTGCATTCCGTTCAGTGTGGGAATCACTCCTTGGAAAAAGATACAATGCCAGGAAAGGTCAGAGAAGTCAGGAAGCCCCTCCACCAGATGGAGTGGGCTTGAGCGTGCCAGAGATTGTGAGGATGGCACCGGCCAGGGCAGCGTTCAGACCTGCTGTTCACAGGCTCGCTGGGGGTCAGAGTCAGCGGGATGGACGAGACAACAACAGCAACATGGATGGTTGCATTTGGCAAACAGATACCAAGATGGAATAACCTCGTATGTGTTCAGTTGATCATGTTGTGAATTATTTTTTAATTACCTTGATTTGTGGTTTGAGGCATATCACTGATGTTGTTGTTGTTATGTGCCATCGAGTCGCTTGTGACTCATAGCGACCCTATGTACAACAGCCCTAAACTCTGCTCCATCCTGTGCCAATCGCACTGTCTCTGACACTCCCATCCCAATTACCCCAGTCACTGAATCAATCCACCTCATAGAGGGCCTTCCCCTCCTGCGCTGTCCCTCCACCCTACCAAGCATGATGTCGTTCTCCAAGGACCGGTCTCTCCTCACAACATGTCCAAAGTATGTTAGACGGAGCCTCAGAATCCTTGCCTCCAAGGAGCCACCCGGTTTAACCCTTTCCAGGACAAATCTGTTTGTTTTCCTAGCAGTCCATGGTATTCTCAAGATTTTTAAAAATCTGTAAATTTAACAGATGTGCTTCACAATTTTACTGTGAAGTGTCTTTGGGAGCGTGGGTGCCTGGCATCACTGATTTAATTAGGATGCGCTGGTGACTTCGTGAGAAGGAATTGTGCTGCCAAAGCAGAGGTGGTGGTGGTTGTTGACGGCCGTCAAATCGCACACAACTCCCAGAGGCCTGAAGCCTCTCTATAACTATCGTCTTTTATCGACGTTCATGGAGTTTCCAGAGGCGTGCTGTTTAGGAAGTGGATGCCGCTACTGCTTCCAAACCTGTTTTAAACTGGAAGCTCCACCAACTCTGTCCACGACGGGCAACCGGTACGGCATTTGACACCCCAATGGCACAAGGTTCAGCATCCCAGCAAACCCAGGCTACCTCAGTATACAGCATACTGACAGAGGAGTGCTGGACCTCTTAGAAGAATGTTCTTCCAAAGTAAAATAACAACCAACTCTTAAATACAAAGACCCTCCCCAACGTCTTGTTGACTCTAAACAAGAGGCTTAAATAAAAAAACGGGATATAAACAGACACTTCACCAAAGAAGACATTCAGATGGCCAACAAGCACATGAAGAAATGTTCAAAATCCCTAACCCTGAGAGAGATGCAAATTAAGACAACTATGAGATATCATCTCACCCCAGTAAGACCAGCAAAATTTTAACAGAACAGCAAGCAATAAATGCTGGCGAGGTTGTGGAGAAACTGGAACCCTTATTCACTGTTGGTGGGAGCGTAAAATGGTGCAATCCCTGTGGAAAGCGGTCTGGTGCTTTCTCAAAAAGCTGCAAATAGAGATACCATTTGACCCAGCAATTCCACTACTGGGAATGTACCCTAAAGAGACCATAAATGACATCCAAGCAGATATATACACACCTGTGTTTATTGCAGCTTTGTTCACAATAGCAAGGAGATGGAAACAACCTAAGTGCCCGTCAACAAATGAATGCATAGAGAAGCTGTGGTATATTCACGTAATAGACTACTACGCTGCACTGAAAAACAAGGAACTCATGCAATATTATTTAAAATGGGTGACTCTGGAGGACATTATGCTGAGTGAAGTATCTCAGTCACAAAAGGACAAATACTGCATGGTGCCACTGTTATAAAACAGGACTGACATCACAAGGTGGGGGTAAGACTGAGAAAAACTGGATAAATTATGTTTACTGCATTGAAGCCGATGAGGGAGAGAATAGTTTAAAAATTAATATATTTTAGGGCATTATGATTATCATAAGACTCCAGAATGAGGGTTGCAGAATGGAGTATACTTGGGGCGGGAGTGGGGATGTGCGGGGTGAGAGAGGGATTGTCTACCAATGAAGGAGTTTTGCTTTTCAAGGAGAGGAGCGAACTGGGGGTGGGGATGGAGGTGAGTGGGTGGGGAGAAAAGTGCAGCAATGAATGAATGGTATTCCAAAATCTCTGTAGATGTTCATTGAAATTAATAATAATAATAATTTAAAAAATTTAAAAAACCCCAACCACTATATATGTATGTTTTTGTTGTTATGTGCTGTTAAGTCACCTGCGACGTACGGCAAACCTATGTACAGCAGCTCTGAACCCTTCCCTGTCCTGAGCCAGTCTCACTAACTCCGACACACCAGCACCCAGTCGCCCCAGATACTGTATCCGTGTGTCTCATGTGGTGCAAATCCACTAGATGCTGTGTGAGAAAGACGGACAGTCTCCTCTCAAGCGATTTGCCAGCTCTGAAAACCCACTGGAGGGTCAGCTACGTGTCCCTTCTGACTTGACTGTACAACACTTGCTTTATTTTGTTGGCTTGCCAATATCTTTTAGATGTTTGCTTCCTTTTGAAATGTGGGTGTGTAGGTCTGCCCATTTGCTGCACAGAGGTAACTCGTGGTTACCCATGGTGGACAGTGTTCAGTGGAACCCCAGATTAAAACAAGCTTGGAAGCAGGAGTGGCATCCACTTCCGAAATAGCTTGCTTCCGGAAACCCTATGAATCTGGAGAGAGGATGAAAGTTATACAGGTGATCAGGTCTTTCATTCATAGGTTTGCTATGAGTTGTCTACGACTTGACAGCACTTAACAACAACATAGGAGGAGGGTAATCTTAGAAATGAGCCGGGGTCTTATTTAGAAGGCCTTGTGCAGTCGTATGGCTGCACGGAGCCTCTGTGACCCGTGTCCCCTCTTTCCTCAGGGGCCTCTTTCAGAACTCCTCGGGCCAGAAGAGCGATGTGTTCCACCTGGACCTCAAGAATGTGAGCGGCATTGGCCACATCCTGGACTTCATGTACACCTCCCGCCTGGACCTCACCGCGGACAACGTCCAGGTCATGCTGGACATCGCGCAGTGCTTGCAGGTGCAGAACGTCCTGACTCTCTGTCACAGGTTCCTGAGGGCCACCTCCACGGAGGCCGGCTGTGCCAGCAGCGAGGCGCACCCCGCCCCACACCTGCCCGAGAGCCCCTGGGATGCTCGGCCCAGGAAGGCCCCCGAGGAGCCCCCCGGGAAGACCCTCGATCCTTTAGACGGCAGTCTCCCGGCGCTGCCTCTCAGGCAGCCCAATTACCATCATAAGCTGAGGAACTTCTACAGTAAGCAGTACCACCGGCAGGCCGCCTGCCCCACTCCCAAACACCCTGCAGAGCCCCCCTCCACTCCCAGCGCCCCTGAACACCCCCCGAGCACTGCTAGTCACCCCGAGTGCGTCCTGGAAGCCCCAGAGCAGCTGCCCTCCAACTTCCTAGCCCAGCCTCTGAGCGAGTCCACCCCCGAGCCTGACCGCGAGGGCCCGCAGCCGACCAGGCCCATGAGGCTCAAGAAGGCTGTCCACCTGAGGAGACTGAACCTCCTCCGGTCACAGAAACCTGCAGAGCAGACGTCCGAGCCCGGTGCCCGCGACGGCGGAGCGGGGCGCATGGGGCCTGCCAGCCCAGGAGACGCGGTAGAGCAGACTGACAGCCACAGGTCCCAGGGACGGGAGAGTGAGGAGCCCACCAGCCTGGAGAGTCTCAGGTGCGTGAGTGAAACGGAGAGGCCTGAAGACCCCACTGCTGCTGCGTGCGAAGACCCATCGCAGGCCCTGCAGCCGCAGAGACAGTACGCCTGTGAGCTGTGTGGCAAGCCCTTCAAACACCCCAGCAATCTGGAGCTGCACCGACGGTCTCACACAGGTACCCCGCCGCGCACATGGGTGCGGGCAGGAAGGACAAGAGCCGGCTTTGCACGGAGGGGCCCTGCTTGATGCCGCCTTTAATGCCCCCAAACGGGGCCTTCTCCAGATCCTGTGGGAGAGGCCCCGCTTCACGGCTGTAATTGTGGTCTTCGAGGTTCAGCAGTCTTCCCTAAGTTGTTTTGGCACATTCAGAGTTTCAAGTTAATTCCCACCTTGATCTGAGCACCATTTACTTAGGATCAAGCCCTTAGAATTAGATGACACTGAACTTGAGAAAGTGTTATTGTTGCTAGCGGTGTGAAGTTGATTCTGTCCCCCAGTGAGCCAGTGTGCTGCCAAGTGTCAGTGCGTCACAGCACCGTGGAACCCTGTGACCTCCAGAAGCCCGCCGCCAGGCCCGTCTTCACAGGCGGCCCTGGCTGGCCAGGGAAAGGCCACTAGCTGAGTGCTTGGCCATGGTGGCTATTAGGTTAGGTTAGGTAGTGGACTTAAAGAAGAAATCAGAGAGAACGAGAGAAAGGTTAATGCAGCTTTATTAAAGGGGGGTGGGGGTAGAAGGGGAGCTCCCGGGTGAGTTCCTCATCCTAGAGAGGCAGAATGGAAAGTCACACTGTGAACTTACTGGGGAGGATTCTTATAAACAGAGTCTTTAGGGAGGTACATTCCATTCTGATTTATGGGCCACCTGCTAGCTTAGCCAGTCAGGCAAGGCCTTTTGCCTTCTTATCTGAAGCAGGCAAGGCCATCACCGTTTGAGTTCTGAATTCTTTATTCTTCTCTTTGGCCCTCTTTGCCCAGACTAACAATGGCGTCTAGAAGCCGCTTTACAAAGTGTAGTCAGGTGGTTGTTCTGTACCTTGAGTCGGAACCAACCCCTGGCTGATTCCCCAGCACGTTCGCAGGGCGGTGAATTGTGGGAGGAGGTTGCCCGTCTTTCTCCCTTGGAGCAGCTTGTGGATTCAAACCTTGTCCCTTTGGATTGACAGCACAGTTCCTCACCTCTAAGCCACCAGAGCGCTCTGCAGTGTCAAGGGTAATAGTGATGGATTTGGACTTGGCATTTGAGTCAGTCTCCAAAGTCCTCACAGAAGTGATGTCTGATCTTTACGTTATGAATCAGCTTGAGTGACTCAGTATTCCGAAACACAGATTATCACATTCTGAGCTGTAAGTCCTCACATACGTTAATACCTTAATGCATGACACTTTCTCCCCAAAAGGGCCTGTCTTTTTATTTTTAAGCTGTTCTGTCATACGTAAGGGGCTCTGGTGGTGCATTGAGTGAGCACTTGACCGCTACTGGAAGACCAGTGACTGACATCCATCACCCCCTCTGCCACGGGAAGATGTGACGGTGACACTCTCGGGAGCCTGGGGGGCCGTTCTCGTCTGTCCTGGGGGGTCACTAGGAGTCAGAATTGACCGGACAGCAAAGAGGTGGTTTTAGGTTGTTGGACACTCTTCAGAGGCCTCACTTTCTCTCCTAGACTGTCACGGATGGCTTTAATATGCATTAGAAGTTAACGAGTTCTCTTCTAGGCCTGAGGAGTAATGTGCCCCGGATTCTTGACGCAGCTGCTTGAAGGTGTCTGTGCCTCCTGCCGGTTTACGGGCGTCACTTGTGTTACCTCTGTGGCCACCAGTTTGCTTGGATATTCCCACCTCACTGTTTTCGTGTCACTTCATTGAGACTTTCAGAAGCCCTTTATGTATTGGAATTTAAATGACAACCACAGTTACTACTAGGAGTTCAAAATTACTCCATATAGAGGAGTCGCAGTTCAGTTTCGCTCTGAAAGAAACATGTTAATGTAGGTGATTTGACTGACTCACACCTTCTGGAGCCTCGTGATCGCAGTGTGTTGTGAAACTTGGTGTGTTTCGCATCAGAGGAGGTGACATAGCCTTAATTCTGAGAGAACATCGTTGAGTGGCCACCATCCTGGCACAGGGATGCGTGTTGAAAACTAAATATTGAGAAAAGTGTCAAGTCTCAAAAGGGTAACCTTGGAAGGCCCTAAGGCTCTTTTAGCGAGTCTACTAGGTGAATATACCATGGACTGACTGCCAAGAGAACAAACAGGTTCATCCTGGAGAGGGTGAAGCCAGGCTGCTCCTTGGAGGCAAGGATTCTGAGGCTTTGTCTGACATACTTTGGACACGTTGCAAGGAGGGATCAGCCCTTGGAGAGGGACGTCATGCTTGGGAGAGTGGAGGGACAGTGCAGAAGAAGACCCTCGGTGAGATGGATTGATTCGGTGTCTGTGGTACTGGGGGTAGGAGTGTCTGAGATAATGAGGTTGGCACAGGATAGAGCAGGTTTCGGGGCTGTTGTTCATAGGGTCGCTGTGAGTCACAGGTGACTCAATGGCACATAACAACAACAAGGTGAGAGCTGTTTTCATAACAGCATAAGATGCTCCCTTTTCCATTTGCTTCTGTGAATAGGACAGTGACGTTTCCCCAAACTACCTCGGTGCTGTGACGTCCTCACTGGTGAAATGTGTGGTCATACTGTTGGTGTGTATGGTATGTGTTGCTAGAGAAATCCCACAGCCTCGGAAGCTCTTCAGAAGGTTCGGAGCTGTCATGCAGGGCAGGGTCCAGAGATGGTTGTGGGGCTTTTGACTGGTGCTGAGTTTTAAGAACTTGCTGTCAGAATGAACCGCCTCTGGAGACTGCCTTCAGAGCGGCTGTGGTTTCCTTGCCGTGGGATTCCGTTCTCTCCAGTTTATTCTCTACCACGACAGAATTATTAGGAGATGCAGAGGGGACCAGGCGGTCAGCAGGGGTCTCAGCTCCCGCAGTGACGTCTGTCTCCCTTGGGCCTGTTTCTAAGCCTGGCTGATAGGCAGGGGGTGAGGTCTCCTTCTGTCACCTGCTTTCAGGAGGCCCCACTCGGTCACGTTCTCACCGCATGGGGGAGGCTCAGGCTTCTGCAGAAGCTCAGACTTCAGCCCAGTTCTGCAGAATCCAGTGAGAGTTGGGGAAGACGAAGGTCAGCGCGCTTCTTCCTGTTCAGCAACAGAACTCCCAGCAGGGGGAGCGGCTGTGCCCAAGGCCTGGCTGTGCTTTTTTAAGCCACTTAAAGACCGTGTCCAAAACCCCGGGGTCCTTTTGAAAAGTCCCACAAAGGCCGTGTTCAGAACCTGTGTGTGCTTTTAAGTACCTGCATTTGAGTTCCACAGGGGTTTGGGTTTGGAGAACAATTTCATTTTTGAGTGAGCGGAAGAGGTCTTGCTTTCCTGACCTCCTCCTGCATCTGTGGTTCAAGACGGGGTGGAAGTGGCGGCTCCATTTCCAGCCTCTGAAAAATGACCGATGCTTGGCTTTGAGGCGGAGGACGTGGGGATAGAGGTTCTCAGCAACGAATGATCCTGCAGGTACTGCTAACGATTTTACAAGTTGTCTTCTCTGTTTTGTTTTATTTTAGGTGAGAAACCTTTTGAGTGTAACATTTGTGGGAAACATTTCTCTCAGGTGGGAATTCTCTTCTTTACTGTTTTACATGGGGAACCTTGAGCCCAGGGCTTCTCTTTATGACCAGTAGAATGTGCTCTTGGGTCTGTCAGAGGAACCGCTCCCGGGACCTGACATCTTGATACTTCAGACTAAACTGGGAAAAAGAATTGTCGGGAGAAGCGGTTTCCGGCTCGTTGCGGGGAAGCCGCGTTTCCTTTGCGTGGGCTCACGGGGTCTGTGTTCAGGTTTCAGTGGAGTCCAGTCCTCGTCTCCGTCTGCTCTTTTGTGAATGACGTCCTCGGGGCAGCACCTGAGTGCACACATTGTGAGGGTGGACCGAAGGCCAGCGGTCTTGATGGCACAGTGGTTAGGCGCTCTGCTGCTACTGCAGAGGACAGTGGTTCGAACCCACCGCTGAACTATAGGGGACACTGAGGTGCTGCTTCTGTAGGATGTCAGCCTTGGAAACCTGTGAGCAGTTCTGCTCCGTCCTGCCGGGTCACCAGGAACCCAGGCAGACTCGACGGCCTTAAGCGCCATCCAAGACAAGCACGGTTTCACTGTGTGGGGGTTAGGACGTTGGAGGAAAAGGCCAAACAATTTCCTCTCCCGGGTGACCCCTCATAAAATTGTTTGCTCGTGTATCGGTGTTTTTCTCCAGTAAGCTGCCCCTCCCATGGGCCTTGGGCCATGCTGGACTCCAGTCACAAGGAGGCCTCGAGAGTCTGTGTTTCACAGAACAGGACGATGTCACAGACTGGCCTGAGGGAGGCCGCTCGTGGTGAAGGGGTGCCAGCTGTTGGCCTGCTGGGCACACGGGCAAGTGCCAGGGCAGGAGCTCCAGCCTCAGCAGGACCGGCTCCTCTCAGTGTGACGCCGTCACCACGCTGCCAGGGTGTGGACGCCGTCACCCTGACAGCAGTGCGGTAACACGTGTGCCACTGGTGCTGTGTTGATAGAGAACGGCTGTGCACAGCGCACCACTGCTGCAGGTTTATACACAGTCACTAGTGCGTCAGTGTTACCCGCTCTTACACAACGGGTGAAGTGTCACTAAGGAATGGCTGTACCCTGTGTGTCAGTGTTACACGCTCTTACACGACGGGTGAAGTGTCACCAAGGAATGACTGTACCCTGTGCATCAGTGTTACACACTCTTACGTGGCAGGTGCTGTGTCACTAGGGAATGGCTGTATCCTGTGCGTCAGTGTTACACAGTCTTAGGGGCACTGTGTCCCCAGGAGTGACCTCCAGTCTGGAACTGGATTATTGAGATTATCGAGTTAACACCAACCCAGTGTGACCGTGTGTGTCAGCATCGACCTGGCTCCATCTCTGGCTCCGTCTCCCGGCCACCCCATTTCTGAACTGCATCTCCTGGCTTTTCTTCGAGGTGCGTCTGAGAGGGGCCTCAGATACCTACAGCAGCACCTTAGCCACCTTGTGCACTGCTCGGCTTGGGGGAGGGTGCTAGGAGCCGTGAACCATGTCACACACAGCCTGGGACATGGAGCCACGGCACTTCTGACGCCTTCCCCGAGGGCTAGGCTCCACACTCACCTCCCTCAGCTCAGGATTAGTTTATCCTCACCCCGAACCCTCGACCATCACTGTGGTCACTGCGCCAGCTCTCGCCCCCTTGGGCCTGCCACCATCACAGGATGGATCCTCCTGTTATACATGGACTCCTGGGGTCACTGAGGCCTCACGGTCTTCCTTCGCACTGTCCGCCCTGTTAGCACCTCCGGGCCAGGGACAATGGCTTAGTTCTCCTTACACTCCAGCATCTCATGCAAGGAAAATATTGTTGAAGACCATCAAAAACGGCCAGAACAGTACACTGAGCGGGAACTAGAAGAGCATTCTGGTTTTAGGAGAGGCCACAGTATCATTGCGGATACCGGGCGGAACGTGACCAAAAGCAGAAAATACCAGAAGAATGACTCTCAGTGTTTTATTGACTGTGCAAAGGCATTTGATCATGTGCGTCATAGCAGATTACGGCTCGCGTTGAGAAGAATGGGGACCCTAGCACACCGAGCTGCGCTCTTACGGGATCTATACCTAGACCAGCGAGCTGTTGTACGAACAGAGCAAGGGAACACTGTGTGGTTTAAAATCAGGCTCCGTATGCATCAGCATTGGATCCTTTCTCCACGCCTATTCAGTGTGTATACTGAGCAGATAATTCATGAAGCAGGGCTCTCTGAAGAGGCGTGGATGGCGCTTCATCAACAACCTGGGTCATACAGATGATACCACTTGCTGAAAGTGAGGAGGATACGAAACACTTGCTGTAGAAGATCAAAGACCACAGCCTTCGGGATAGATGATATCTCAACATCAAGAAGACAGAGGTCCTCATCACAGGACCCACAGTCAGCATTATGACAGATGGAGAAAGGACTGGAGCTGTCAATGATCTCAGCTTGCTTATATCAGCAGTCAGGAAATCAGGAGAAGTATTGGATTGGCCGAGTCTGCTGTCAGAGATCTCTCCAAAATGCAAAAAAGCAGTGATGTCAGTTCGAAGACTTAAGGTGCCCCTGATCCCGGCCGTGGTCTTCTAAATCACCTGTTACGCATCAGAGAACTGGACAGTGAATAAGGATGACAGAAGAAGGATTGATGCCTTTGAGTTGTAGTGCTCGACAGTAGTACTGAATACCCCACGGACTGCCAAGAGAACAGATATGTCCTGAAGAGGGTGCTCTTGGAGGCAAAGATAACGAAGCTTCATCTTTCTCACTCTGGACATGTAACTAGGCTGGGCTATTCCTTGGAAAAGGACATCGTGCTTGGAAAGATGGAGGGTCAGCGAATGATAGGAAGACCCCTAACGAGGTGGACTGACGCTGTGACCTCAGCGATGGCTCTAGGGTCTCAGAGATGATGGGGATGGCACAGGACAGGGCAGGGTTGAGGATGGTGGTTCATAGGGTCGCTGTGAGTTAATGACTTGATGGCACCTAACAACAATCCCAGCACCCAGGACAATGCCTAAACTCAGAAACCAGCACCGCCGGCATCAACTCGGTTCCGAGTCACAGTGACCTGGGAGGACAGAGGAGAGCCGCCTGCCTGGTTTCTGAGGACATACATTTTATGGAAGCACCAACCCTTTGGATCACAGCCCAAGCTCGTTGATGGAGTTCCCATGGAGTCGGAACCAGCTCCTACCTGGCCCTCCATCCATCCAGTTTTCAGAGGCTCTGGTTCGCACGGGAGGGGTTCAGAGCTTGGGTTCTGTGCCTGGCAGTGGGATCTGCATCCCGTCTGTGGCCTTCAACAAGCCACTCCGCCTCTGAGAGCCTATTTCCTGATCTGTGACTGTTACGCTGGGTCACTTGCCTTAGCAGGTGTGCAGGGCTTAAGTTAACACTGCTCCTTACTCTGAGGAGAACGGGAATCCCAGAACACTTGATCGTGCTCATGCAAAACCTTTACTTAGACCAAGAGGCAGTCGTCAGAACAGAGCAAGGAAACCCGGCATGGTTTAAAATTAGGAAGCGTGTACACCCGGGATGTATTTTCTGACTCCATAACTTTTCAGTCTGTATGCAGAACAGATCATCTGGGAGGCTGGACTGCAGGAGGAGGAGTGTGAAATCAGGATTGGAGGAACAATCATCAACAGTCTGCGTTAGGCAGATGACACAACCCTGCTTGCTGAAACTGAGGAGGACCTGAAGCACTTGCTGCAGAAAGTCAAGGCTGAACCTTAAATATGGATTGAAGCTCAACATCAAGAAAACAAAGATTCTCTCCACTGCGCCGATTGGCAGCATTATGATGGATGGTAAAGAGATTGAGATTGTTAACAGCTTTAGTTTGCTTGGTTCGACAATCAACACTCTGGGTACCAGCAGCCAGGAAATCAGAAGACGAATTGCATTGGGAAAGTCTGCTGTCAGGGGCCTTTCCAGAGTACTGAAGAGCAATGATGTCATTCTGGAGACTAAGGTGCAGCTGAGCCAAGCCATTGTCTTCACAGTTACTTGCTATGCATCAGAAAGTTGGACGATGACTAAGGATAATAGAAGAATTGATGCCTTTGAGCTGTGATGCTGGAGAAGGGTATTGAAGATACTGTGGACTGCTGGGAGAACAAACAGGTTTGTCCCGGAGAGGGTGAAGCCAGCCTCCTCCTGGAGGCAAGGATTTTGAAGCTTTATCTTACATACTCTGGGCATGTTGCAAGGAGGGACCAGTCCTTGGAGAGGGACGTCATGTTTGGGATGGTGGTGGGACAGTGCAGGAGAGGAAGACCCTGGATGAGATGGATTGACTCAGTGACTGGGGTAACGGAGGAGTAGGGGTATCAGAGACAGTAAGATTGGCTCAGGATACTGTGAGTCGCAGGCGACTTGACTGCACACAACAACAGCTGGCTTCCTGGAGCTGTGTCTGCCGGTGGTCGTGCTCAGCCTATGTCATCAGTACCTGCCCCGTTTCCATCACCACCTCCTCATCTGTGTGTCCTCTCCGTAAACAACAGCCTTCCTACAGCACCATGCTGTTATGAGAAGGGCGGGAGGCCCAGAGTGACTGTCCACTGTTGCACTTCTCCGAGCAGCAGGGACGTGCCAGGCGACAGAGTGAACTCAAGACTTGAGTTAGTCAGGAGGTGGGGGAGAGGAGCGCGTGGCTGAGTGTCCTCCCGATGGGCACCTCCTCGCAGCTTTCATGGACAAGGCTCTCCTTCCAGAAGCAGTAAAATATGTCAGCTGGGGCCCGAGATGGTTTTAACTTGCTGACCTTCTCCATTTCCATAACCACATCTTTATCAGAAGTCAACATTGGCAGGACACACACACACCCCGCCTACACCCCCATATGACAGACTCAAGGTCGCTGCGCACGCACAAACACACACCCACCCATATCCATATGACAGAGTTTTGTCTTGCTTAGGACAGAATGTTCTTTTGCCCTGATTACAGTGTTTAGATTACATTCGTTTAACCAGGCCTTGATCAGGTTGACCCTTACCGTCCACGCTGCAGGCCACAACTTCT